CGCACTCGTCCTGGGGGCCCAGGACACCCCGGCTTCTTGTCCCTTTAGTTCTCCTCCCCGTCCTGTCAGGCCTTAGAAACCTGGTGCTCGGCGCCCAGTCGCCAGTGTCCCTGGAGGACAACTTGTGACAACACACATGGAAACAGTCTCGCTCCGAGGGGCTCGCAGGATCAGGAAACACGAGAACAGAATAGAATGAGACACAACTACAAAAATAAAATGGCTGCGCATCGAATGAGGCAAAATAAACAGCCGCTCATTTTTTCACTTCAGATCCTACGCCATCTCCCACGCTGTCCCAAAGCACACCCACGTCATGTCGGCGGCGTTTACCTGCATGGTCTTTGAATATTTTTGATATGACGACAGGGACTCGGTACTCGGCGCCTCCCTGGAAGACAGGAGTGGGGTTTGGTCAACATGGGAACGATCCTTGAAAGGGACGTGGGGCCGAAAGAGTGTTCCATACCTTTATGCTCAGGCCCAGGCCTCCAACCGGCTGTCTGCGGAGGGTGACGGTTCTGTGCTTTAAAACATTTCAGAAAACAAACCAAGTTTAGGTTAAAATGCACTACCAGAAAGTAAATGCAAAACGCACATGCACTTCTTAAACTTAAGTAACTGTTTAAAGTACATATTTCCAAAGCGATTTTGCTTAAATCCTGCAGGAATGACTCAATTTCAACTCCTCAATCTGTGGTACTACAAATGGAAACCGAGATAAAAACAGACCCTGCTACGAAGTCCCGCCAAGCTGGTCACCTCAGCCCACTGGTCTCCGAGGACACTCTCTTGGGCAGCACCACGCCCGGCTGGACTCCAGGACACGTGGATGGGGACCCTCGTGGGACACAACCACATCTTATGCTTCAAGAGAAACTCTGAGAAGCATAAGACAGAAAGCTGGCTTATCACATTATCCGGAAATTCTACTACATAATAGATTTCTCAAAATTACCCAGTAGTGTTTTTCAATCTTAGCCGTTAGTACAAGCACTTTAAGCTCATTGAGAACAAGCATATATTAGACAAAACATATTTTTAGAAGAAATGAGTTTGTTTTGACCTCTACAAACTTTGTCAAATGCTGTCATTTAAATCTGTCATTTTATTCATGCACACATCTCAGAGAGATAATTCAAAGGGACTATCGAAAATGATCACGTGCGCAAAATGGGTTATTGCATACCAAAAATCTGGCTACGTAACACTCCTGACAGGTGAGGGAAGACAGTTTTATCATAAACGTCTCTGATATTTGTTACCAGACCTGGAAGAGCCTCCCGTCTTTTCTTCTGACGAAGCCAGAAAGCTACTCATTCAAATATTTGCTTTATGTAATCTGCTAAAATTTCCTCAGTAAATTTGGCCCAGTCATTAAAATCTCTGCAAAACTGAGTTTCTGCATCTGGAAAACGAGGATTATGACACGTGCTCTGCGTAGGAAGTTGCCAGGACTGAGCTGTGTTCCCCACATTCCCAGGATGAAGCCGTCACCCCCCTTGTGACTGGACTTGGAGTTGGGGCCTTGAGGAGGCAATTAAGAGGGAAGGGCGGCCCTGATCCCACAGGACACGTGTCCTCACGGGGAGGGCGAGGCGCCAGAACTCGCTCTGCACAGGAGAGGCCGCGTGAGGACAGAGGGAAGACGGCCGTCAGGAGGGCACGTCCGAGAGCAGACAGGACCCACGCCCTGCAGAACCTTGGTCTTGGACTTCCAGCCTCCAGAACAGTGAAAAGTGAACTTCTGCTATTTAAGCCGCCCCGTCCATATCATGATGTGGCAGCTGGAGCTCACTAGACAAGGAAGTCACGTAAGATAATCACGGGAAAGTGTGATGAAAGTATCACGTTTCATAAGAACGTCAGGAGGTTTAGACGCTTTTAAAAACAGTTGTTCCTTCCTGTTTTTTAAAGCTCCCTCATTCACGTATCAATCAATTCTATTGGGTTGT